CTTTTCTGTACCACACCTTATAGAATATCCATTTTCTGTTGATGATGATATGGAAATAGATGATGAAATAAATTCAATCATTACTCACACCCCTCCTCATAATAGTTTTGTCCATGTTGTTAATGACAAAGTTATAACTGAAGAAGAAGCAAGAAAAATTATAATAATTCCAAATGAAAATAAATTTATGATCACAAAATGTCATAACCCAACTTTAGCTTCTCATATTGAAGAATTCTGAATATGATAAGTATAAAAAGTTAACAATCTATTGGTAATGTATTCATTTTATTTTAACTAAATTGTTTGTTTTTAAAAAGTTTATATTGTTTCAGTAATATTTAAAAAAGAAAAGAAAAATATATGATTCTTATTAATAATCTAATCTAACCAGTGAAAAGAATTAAGTAATGAATATTTAAATATAATGGAAAGATATAAAATAGAAGTTGTTTAAAATACAAACAAACACTAAAACTATTAGTTTTATTTTTGATTGTTACTTTTTAGTATGATTATCTGTGTTAATATTCAAGAATTTCTTTCTTTAATACAATATTACTAAATTGTTATAACCACTTCTATATCAAAAATAGTTATTCAATTAATAGCTGAATTCATTAATCAAACTCCTTCTAAAAACTGTTTTTTTAAGTATAAAATATAATATAAATTAATGAATATAAAGGGAATTCGAAACATAATTCAATTTATTATTTAGTTAATTTATGATTAATAACTATCACTTCGTCTGATATAATTAACTTTTAAAATTTTTAAAATATTATTTAAAGAGGAGTACTGTTTTTGTTAGTGGTACAATTAAACTACATCTAGACAACTTTGTTGGTTTTATTATTTAAAAAATAAGAAGGTTGTGTTTGGGTCTTATGATATTATGACATAAGAGGTTTAAATAGACAATAACTGCTGAACAAAAAAGAGTTAAATAATACAAGCTCATTGCACATAACTTTAAATGTTCCCAAAAAGCCATATTTACTTTTTAAAAGTTAAAGCACATTAACTTGTTCTTTAGTAACACTAATTCATTAACTCCTTATAAATTGTTAGTTTTGGATTATTCAGAAAGATAATAACAATTCTTTCTTCATTTCTTTTTTTGTTCTTTTTAATGAATTAAATAAACACCTAACTCGATATGTTCTTTTTATACTTGTTCTAAACTATTGAAAATAGTATTGAAACAATTTAATATTCTTTTATGATTTTATGAAATAGCCTTTATTCAATCCTTTCTTATTCTATAATAACACTCCATTTATTTTTCTTATAACCACTTTATCTAAAATATCTACATATTATTTTATGGACTAATTTTTATTTACCGAACCTTATAATACTAAATTTATTCAATTATCATATATTTTAAAAACAGGATTAGTAACAAGACTTGATTGATTAAACCAAAAAGAAATTCTATAAACCATTGATAGTAGAGTTGTAGTTATTTTTAAAATTTCTTAAATAGAATTCTTATTTGAAACCTCTCTTTGTAAAGCAGAGGATAAAACAGTATATCATTTTGCCATCCTTTTTTTCTTTGAAACTTTGACTTTACTGAATACAGTTGTTTTTCATTTAGAAATTTATGGAATTATTCAATAAATTAATAAAAAAGAAAAATCAAAACTATTCTTATGTAGATAAAGGAGTATATTAAATTTATAATATTTAAAAGTCATTTGTTGGTATTACAACAAGCCTCAAACAGAAGAAAAGGAAAATGTTCTATCAAAAAAGAAATCGTTACATAAGTTATTGTTCTATCATTCCATTCAACTAATATATATTTTTGATTGTTATACTCTGTCTCTGCTATGATCTTGATAATAACTAGTCCTTTTGAAATACGAAATACTTGAGTATTTTCTATTTCTTGATGAATGTCTCTAAAAGGAATATCCAATATCGAAACCCAACTATTTTCTGATGGCAATAACCCTTTCCATTTAACTAGTATTTTTGTATTTCCCTATTGTTGAGTATCATTAAAAGAAGGAAGGTAATCAATCCAAACTTCTGAATCAACTTTTTTCTTAATTATTTGCTCAGGAAAAACAAAATTCATAAATTTAGTTTTTCCTTTGTAAAAAAAAATATAAATTTTCTTTTTCATGTTCTAAAAATCAATAACCAAAAAAAATTAGAAAAAGATCTTAAAAAAGATATATTATTTTTATGAAACTATTATTCTTTGTATTAATTGCTTTTATTTTAACATTCACCAATGCTGAAGAAGATCTTGAATTAAATAACTATGATGAATTCGATGATGAATTAGATTTAGAAGAAAATGGTAATGAAGAAGAAAACGATATTGAATACGAATTAGAAGACGAAGAAGAAGATGGTGATGATGAATATGAATTAGACGAAGAAGACGAAGATGATGATGATGACGAAGAAGAAGAAGATGATGATGATGATGACGAAGAAGAAGAAGATGATGATGATGACGACGAAGAAGAAGAAGAAGATGATGATGATGATGACGATGATGATGACGATGATGATGACGATGATGATGATGATGACGATGATGATGAAGACGATGATGATGATGATGATGATGATGATGACGATGATGATGATGACGATGATGATGATGATGATGAAGACGATGATGATGATGATGAAGACGATGATGATGACGATGATGATGATGATGAAGACGATGATGATGATGATGAAGACGATGATGATGATGATGAAGACGATGATGATGATGATGAAGACGATGATGAAGACGATGATGATGATGATGATGAAGACGATGATGATGATGATGATGATGACGATGATGATGATGATGATGATGACGATGATGATGATGATGATGATGATGACGATGATGATGATGATGATGAAGACGATGATGATGAAGACGATGATGATGATGAAGACGATGATGATGATGAAGACGATGATGATGATGATGACGATGATGATGAAGACGATGATGATGATGAGACGATGATGATGATGATGACGATGATGATGATGATGACGATGAAGACGAGTATGAATTAGAAGATGTTGAACCCC